GGTTTGGTGCGTGTTAAAAACAGGCTGTGATCCCCTACGTTAAGACAGGCCCAGAATGAAATGTGAGAGAAATCGTGGCCTGCTAATCACAGACACCCGTGACAGCTTCTAACGGCTGCTTTTCGCACATACGCTCTCATTCAGTCTCGTTACTCTCCCATGGTAACAAGAGTCGTGTAGCACCCTCGCCTCTCCGAAGCGAGCGGAGTTAAATTGTTTCCAGAAAAACAGCAAAGGACTCATCAGTGATAAAGGTGACAAATATGAACCAAAGTGTGAAAGGAAAGTCTTCACGCGAGCATGGTGGCAAAGGGGACAAGGCCTGAGTAGGGCAGGCGGCGATTGATGCGACTGATGAGACCAGACACGAGCCACATGAGGCCCACTGACAACGCAGGAGTCCCCTGCGGTATGTCCACCAGACTGCTTATGCACGCACGCACACACTCACACAAATGCACGCATTCACACAAGCACGCAATTTTAACACTACCACAGTGATCCCGTGCAAACGCAAATAATGCAGACATAACAGTTTTAATAAAAAGAAGTTTTAAAATGATTAAAGCTTTTGCTTATTGCTAACTTATGAGTTCGTTTATCCTTCGGATTTGTAATGTTCGCCCACCCTCTAGTGGTTTTATATTATATTGCAATTATCCCAAAATTAGCACTGCACATAAGAACAGATTTTTCTTTTCTTTTTTCTTTCTTTTTTTTGACATTTCTGTGTTAAAGTAAAAAAAAAAACAACTGCTGTTTCTTCCAGTCATTATTTCTTCTATTTGGCTGCCAAACAAATAAACAGCAGCACAGTGAAGTTAATAAAGTACACTTTGTGTGTCTCGTGTGAGTGGGGCAAGTTTCACACGCAATTCATTTTGGCAGCAAAAAACATCCCAAATTTGGTTGGGCATCATTTGTGGAACCACGCTGACTATCCTACACATGTTGTGGACACCAGAAGTCATTCCCAGTTTGGCTCACCAACACACCCCTGGTTCCCCTCCACCGTGAGGGTGCCTTTAAAACGATATGCCTTCTGGGGTGTTCTTTTATGGACTGGAGTTGCACCATTGAGTATTGTGTAATTCTCTTCAAATCACTTTGTTCCCCTCTCTCCTCAACCCCCTCCTTTTTTTTAGCCCACCCCTGACTTAACAACCAGAAAAAGGTCACATTTTTGAGAAGTGACTTCCATGCATGTTCCATGCTGGGTCGTCACTTTCGATTTCCTAAGACCTTTCATGTCACACACCCATCAACCCAGAGAACTGCAAGCACGCTACTACAAACTACCATGTGCAACTTTTTATGCTGCTGCTGCCACTGGTGTTTTCTTCACTTATTTTATTTCAGGTTTGTCAGAACACAAAATATCATTCAAATGCACAATGTGCTGTGTATTATGTTTCTCTTGTACACCCAGGTTTTAAATCTCTCTGTGGGTACTGCTGAAGCCCATTTTGGGGCTTTAGTAGAGACCCTGCATGGGTAGGATTGGTGATAATCTTCTCCCTTCGTGTCTTCCTGAGCTTCTGCAGAATTTAACACTGAGATACCCTCAGGACACCTAGTGAGGGCTTAACGAACGACTGTCTTTTCCTTTTCCAGCACATCTTTCAGATGGTATGAGATGTTTAACTCAGGGCACAATATCATTAATGGAGCATGAAATTTAGGCCTGAAGTGCAGCAGGCTCCTAACCTGCAGGTGACACTGTCTGCATGAAGCTTTTATTGTGACTTAAGTGAGCTGTATTATAACCACATTTGACTGGTGACAATTAGTGACCTTTTGCCTATCCAGCAGCCATCCATTTCAATTACGCAAAGCTGGAAATCTTTTGTGGATAACCAAGTAAAATACTAGCCAGAGAGCTTCCACTGTACTTTTACTGTACTTTACTGCACTATACTTTACGGAACCAAAAATTAGGTGAGAAGGGGTCTATATTTATGGGTGTGGATTAACAATAGTCAGCTGCGTCTGACCTTCTGTGACTATATTAATATTTATTAGACAATATACCAAACAAGGAGGTAGATAACTTATGGATGAAGCCTACTATAGGTTATTGTGAGTTCTTTTTTCCAGTTAACTGTCCTCCTCTTCTAGTAAAAGTCTTTCTCGTCGATCAATAATTAATAAATCACAAAGTTAGATATTGTAATCTATGGTAAATTTGCTAGCCCCTGATGATGCGAAAACTGAGGCTCTCTCCCTCACATCACATGATGTGCTTAAGTTATGATATTTTTTGTGGATTATTGTTAGCATTGTCAAAGTAAAACAAACCCTTATTTTTGTACCTTTCATAAGTGTCCACAATATGTACTTTCAGCTTCTCACTTATTTTTTGTGTTTACCTTGGGACCAGCACAAAGAGTACACTAGCTTGTGACCTCCCTAAAGCTGGGTTTGTGTCTCTTGGTTGCAAACCGGGGATCTTTTAACCAATTAACCAATAAACCACAAAGCAACTTCCTAAGTGTATCCACAGTGAACGTCAAATAGCTTACTGTAAAACAAGAAGCACTCAAAGACCACAGAGCTCTGCAAAGGCAGGTTGCCCTCTGGGCAGAATTTACTTTAAAGTATTTTGTATATATTCATTTTGTTTTCTTTGTTCTTTTTAAAAGTACTTTAAGAATTTTATACTGTTATAAAAAAGAGACATGTTGGAGTCAACTTGAAAGAAAGTTGTCAAATGGGGCATGATATTTGGATGCAAACTATAATGGGATATTTAGAATCCCCATATACTAGTATCATTTACTAAATGTTGCCAATACAAACAAAGGCAATAGAACTTTAACAATAGTTTTAAAGATAAAAGACATTTTTAATACAAGTTTGACCTTGAAGAAGAGTTCAGATGTCCAAAGTAATTATATATTTAGAATCCCCGCATATGTGCCTGGCACAGTTTTAAGGAATACACTATTTTGCCAAAAACATTTACTCACCCATCCAAATCACTGAATTAAGGTGTTCCAGTCATTTGGTACAAGAACCCACATAGCAAGCAGGTCTGGCCCAGATCTGGTATCAAGTCGGCACTGCTGGATGACTTCTGGGATGGTAAGTGGTATGTCATCCAGATATGGGCCAGACCTGGTGGATTGGTTTATGTGGCCCAGGCCCATAGAAAACAGGTCTTCCCTGGATCCAGCATCAAGCTGGCACTTCTGACTGACTGGTGTCATGGCAGGGTGTATGTCAACCAGATGTTTGCCAGGCCTGGCAATGATGGCAATATTTATATTCCTATTCTCCATACACTGTCTGAACAGAGTTTTGTCATGTTACTTTTGCAGTGTTTTGCATGTTCCGGCATATGTTTTTTATTATATGGCTTGATTAAGGTACACATTAGGCTGACATCTGCGGCCAGAGCTGAAACTGTTCTGGGCCAGCACAGAGCCAGCGGTGTGTCTACTGCTGGCCCATGTGTGGGCCACATCTGGCAAACCTGATCTGGGCCACCAAAGGGCTGTCATTCTTTGCAGTATGTGGGCCATGTGTAAGCACATTGTGTGGGCCAGATCCGGGCCATACCAATTTTGCTATGTGGGAAGCACCTAAGCACGCAGACTGCTGCTACAAACATTTGTGAAAGAATGGGTTTCTCTAAGGAGCTCAGTGAGTTCCAGCATGGTACTGTGATAGGATGCTACCTGTGCAAGTCCAGTTGTAAAATTTCCTCCCTAATAAATATTCCACATTCAGCTGGTAGTAATGTTATAACAAAGTGCAAGGGATTTGGAATGACAGCAACTCAACCATGACGCAGTAGACCATGTAAAATAACAGAGTGGGGATTGGTAGGTGCTGAGGCACATAGGGGAAAGATTCTGCATGGGTTTCCATGACTGAGCAGTTACATCCAAGCCTTTCATCACCAAACATAATGCAAAGTGCCAGATGCAGTGCTCTAAAGCACATCGCCCGTGTACTCTGTCTGGCAATCTGATGGACGAATCTGGGTTTGGTTGTTGCCAGGAGAAATGTACTTGTCTGACTCCATAGTACCAAGTGTAAAGTTTGGTGGAGGGGTGATTATGGTGTGAAGTTGTTTTTCAGGCTCGGTTCTTCAGTTCCAGCCAAAGAAAGTTGGCCAATTTCATGCTCCCAACTTTGTGGGAACAGTTTGGGGATGGTCCCTTGCAATTCCAACTTGGTTACGGACCAGTGCACAGAACAAGGTCTATGAATGAGCAAGTTTGTTGTGGAAGAGCTTGACTGACCTGCACAGAGTCCTGAACTCAATAGATCACCTTCAGGAATTAGAGTAGGGACGGCGAGCCAGGCCTCTTTGTCCAGCATCAGTGTCTGACCGGTGACTGACCAATTATGCTTCTAAAAGAATGGTAATAAATTCCCATAAACATGCCTAAAACTTGTGGAAAGCCTTCCCAGAAGAGTTGAAGCTGTTATAGCTACAAAGGATTGGCCGACATCATATCAAACCTTATGGATTAAGAATGTTACTCAAGATGTTACTCAAGTTCTATGGCTGTGAAAGATGGCTGAATACTTCATAATCTAGCATTATTATCACTCAGTGTTGGGGAGTAACGGAATACATGTACCGCCGTTAAGTATTTAAAATACAAAATATGAGTAACTGTATTCCGTTACAGTTACCATTTAAAAAGGTGGTATTCAGAATACAGTTACTTTGTTGAAATAAATGGATTACACTGCGGTACTTTCCTGTTTCATTTTGTCGCGGGTCAGGACTGTTTGGGTTTTGTTTGACAGCTACGTTCTGTTGTTCCAGGCGGCAGCGTTACGGTTGCCATGGTTACAGGGCGACGCTCGCTCTCTCTCTGCGACTGTGTGTTTCCTAGGTGAGAGAGCGCCTTTTCGTTGTTGTTGTTGTTGTGCTAAGCTAACAGGCAGAATGCTACAAGCATAGCTCTAAAGAATGTAGCATCATGGGCAGTGTAGTCCGCAGAGAGAATGGACTGCCATACACGTTATGGGTCTGTGAGCGCGAGGAGGGAGAAAAAGGGGAGTGGAAAGGTACGAGTTGTCATCGAGGAAAAACGGGAGCTGGAAGCATGTAAATATAATAATAAGCACTTCAGCCAAGCTATTAAGACTCGACTGTACACCGTGTTCGTGTTTTCCTCCGAAAACAATAAGTTCCGTTGGAGCAGTCTTTCAACGCCTCTCTCTGTCTCTCGCAAGAAAAGTTGACCCACACAACAAAGTAAAGCTAGCTTTCGGCTACGAGCCGACAGGGACCCCGCCGTATTAGTCAGAGGTCCCTTTACTACAGCTCGGAGTCGCGGACCTTCAGTAATAGTAATAAATCACACGGCAATAGTACATTCACGTTGTTGTAAAAAGCATGATAATATATTAAGTAATCCAAAGTATTCAGAATACATTACTGTCATTGAGTAGCGTAACGGAATACGTTACAGAATACATTTTGGGGCATGTATTCTGTAATGGAATACATTTTAAAAGTAACCTTCCCAACACTGTTATCACTTTCACCTTGAAGGAGAGGTCAGAGGTCAAATTTGACATCTTTATATGGTACTTTCTATATGTTAACAATACACACCACACTTATAAGAATCATAGTTTCTAAGTTCTAAGGCTTTTTGTCAATTTTGATCAATAAATCATTAAGTTTATCTTGAAGACCTTGGTGGATTTAAGCCAAACTTGAATGGATTTTTAACATGACCTCACTCTATACCTTTTTTCAAGCTACTTAGATTACTGTGACCTGGATGACTGAGAACCTGCACAGACATATTTACAGACAGAAAGACATACATGCATTCACTTTTGTTTTTTGCTTTTTTGTTTTTTTCACTCATCAGTTTCAATTATAAAGGTTTTACAGTCATGTGTCATGAGGGAAATGGCAACTCCAGCTGTCAGGTGGCTGCTGACACTGCTAGCTGTAGCTACACAGTTAAAATTAGTCATAATTTATTAGAATTAGCGGGGATTTCCCTCCATCAACGCCACTGGACTATTCTTCATCGTCTTGATGTTTTCACTTTAAAATACAAAACAGTCCAAAATGTTGGGGCACCTAATTTCCATCAGTGAAGTAGTATGAGCACACTGCGTCTTTTGTTTGCAGTGAAGCTCGTGTTGCACCTTCCTTTGCCAACACAGATTCACATTGCCACATGTAACCGCTATAACTATTCTCAGAATTTAACACCTTGTATTTCAGTTTAGAGTGTTTATATGTTTTTAATCTTTCAGGCGGGTTGGTGGTTTTGATTTGTACATGCACATATATATATATATGGAGACACAACTGCCTTCAGACTGTTAGTGTTTCATTCACACATCAAGCAATACTTTAGCTTCCTGCTATATCTTCCATCAGTACCATCTCAGGCCTTCTGCATTTACCTCAGCTACATAAGAGTATGAACTTGAAAAACCTCAGAGACGGGAACGTAATAAAACCTCACACTCTATCACTTCATCTAACCTTTCTCAAAACGGCGCTGCACCCACTGCCAGCAGCAGTGAAAGTGACTCCTATGTTAACTGCAGTCAATTCAAATCATATCACAACTCCTTCTGTGGTATGCATGTAAGTCTTGCTTTTGAATATATTCAGACTCTACAAGAAGAAGTAATCAGTTCTAGTCAACCTACACGGTCCTTTTTTTCAATCCTGCTCCCAAATGAGGTGCATACTCTTCGACACAAGACAGAATAAGACAAGATAGGATATATTGTATCTTCTCCTTATGCCCAGATCACGTCATATCTTTCTCTTTCTAAATTGTAAGACGATTTGTATTTATGTACTGTAGTACCCTTTCTACTCTATTTGAGCACTTGTAATGCTTTCTACTACAAATCCCATTCGCCCAATCACACACATTCATATCGTTTTTTGTTTAACACTCACACACACACAAACTCACAGGGACAAACCCTCACTCGCTGCTGACGGATGCCTCAGGGCCAAGTCAGGGTTCAGCATCTTGCCCAAGGGTACTTCGACATGCTGACTAGTGAATTGGTAGACAACCTCTTTGTTTCCAAATCTCATAATCTTTTAGTTACTCCACTGTGCAACTAACAAAAACTCAAATTAATTTAAATTAATTTGATTTCCCCCTTAGTTTGCATCACAAACCCTCCCCTCAAACAAGATTTCTGCCACCACAAACAGTGCAAACCTGTGATGGTTTATATATATTTTGTCTGCATAAAGGAAAAAAACAAAAACAAAATTGAAGTCACACATCACAGTCCAAGTGGCTTCTTGTTGTCACACTTTAAGTGTTAATACCCAATAACGATAAACTTTTAGAAATAACATATATGAATGTTACTGTTATGTTCTCAGCATGTATGTAAATTTATGCCACATATATGTATGTATATGCATGTAAATACATAATGACTACCTGCCTCACAGCTTGTGATTTAAAGTAGCATTGTCATCCCAATTAAAAAGTAAAAATACTAAAAAAACTGAAATGGCAAATAGGATGACAATTGATACAAGTACAATATATCTTAAATGAGGGTATTTTAATGCATTGCATGTCCTGGGGGACAGGATGTTAACATGCAACTACTGTTGTTGTTCATGTGTGACATTTACCCAAATGTAATGTGTGATGTCAGAAAGGAGAGGTGGGATTTGAACACTTCACATAAACTTTGCAAAGATATTTCAAGCCTTGCTGCTTCTTTTACAACCATAACTAGCAGACTCTGCAGCATTTACAGTTAAAAAATACTTGGTTACTCTGTTTCTTACTGTAAGTATTCCTTATTATAGTTTTCTTTGTCTATATAGCAGCACAGTGGTCTGTTGCTCCTGTATTTACATGCATTTTCCTGCCTGTGTTGATTTATTATGACATTCTTTCTTATTTTCATAAAGTGACAGGCAAGATGGCTGGTGGAAACATGACCCTGGACTCTGTTGCAGTTCCATCAAACCAGAGCAGCTGTGATGTGTTTGTATACCAAAGAGCCGCAGTGGTCCTTTTCCCCATTTTCTACTCTGTGGTATTCATCATCAGCACATGCGGCAACAGTTTGGTTCTCCGTGTCATCTGCCAGAGAAAACAGAAGTTCAACTCCACCTCCATTTATCTGGTCAACCTTGCTTTATCTGATGCTCTGTTCACACTGGCACTTCCTGGGAGAATTACCTACTACATCCGTCACTTTGACTGGCCTTTTGGTGACCTTCTCTGCAAAGTGACCACACTTCTTTTCTTTACAAACACATATGCAGGTAATATGAGAAATTTTGTCATTGTACTTTTGGAGCTTGTCTTTGTCTATGTCTGTACAGGTGCTGCCAGATCTTTATACTAGTTTTAGTTCACTTTTTTCTATTTAGAAAGACACATGCAAAACATGTCAGTAATTACAGACATGACCAGTACATCATATCTGTCACATATGACATATATATCTACTAACACTCAAAAAGCATTGCATTTAAACTTTTGAAATACATGAAACATTTCCAAATGTTCAACAACAAAACAAAATGCTCAGATTGCAACTGGGATGGTGAACGCAATAAGCAGAAGCTGTGTGTCACTTCCATTACATTCTCACCAGGTATCGGCTTCATGACCTGCATCAGCTTGGACAGATACCTGGCCATGGTGCATCCACACCGGCTGCAGTGTTTAAGGAGTGTAAAGGTTGTTCGAAGGGTGTGCTGCCTGGTCTGGGCTCTAGTTTTTCTGGAGGTAGCGCCTCTGCTGTTCCGCAGCATGCTGCATGAGCATCAGGGAAGACGAACCTGCATGGAGTACTTCAACTTCGAGGGCTCCCGCTTCACTCCGTATCTTCTGATTCTGGCCTGCGTTGTGTCCTTCTGCTGCCCGCTTACCATTATCATGTGCTGCTATGCCAAGATCAACATTAAACTGCGAGATGCAGCTAAAAAGAACTCTGTAACTGGTCGCTCAAGGAGGAATCACAGGGCCAACACTATTATTCTGCTCATCCTCCTCACCTTCATCGTATGTTTTAGCCCTTATCACGTCAATGTCATCCAGTTTATGGCCAGAAAAATACACCACCAGCCAACCTGTGAAGAACTGAGAGCCTTTAAAGTGTCTTTACAGGTGAGAACTGCTGTGTTTTCTTTTTTCAATTGATTTTAAAATGTCCCCGTCATTTCTCTTTCTTTTTTTCCTTTTCATAATTTACCCTTACCTTCTAGATTACCGTTTCGTTAATGAACTTCAACTGCTGCTTGGATCCAGTCATCTACTTTTTTGCCATTAAGACATACAAGAAGAGAGTGATGAGCCTGTTTAAAGACTATCTCTATACTTCCGGCGCCTCCTCCAAAATGACAGCTGAGAACAGCAGCAGCAACACCTGAGAAACCACAGCTGATTCTGCAAGATGCACATATAGAACATATGCCACAGACCTATTTTCCCATGCTAAACTAAAAAAGAAAGAAAAAGAAAAGGGCTTTATTTTACGTAGTCTCTTCTGCTGATGTGTTTTTTTAAATCCCTTCCATCTAAAATATATATCAATTGTGTATGGACACATGCAGTGTATGTGCCTTAATTTAGCTGTAAAAAAATGAACTAAATCCTTGTTCTGCTGTTAGTGTTGCACCCAGTATTTGTTTGTACTGTATGTATTGCCAAGTGGTTTTGTTGTTGTTGTTTTTGTTCATATGATGGCCTTTTCTTTTTTTCTTTATGTGTTTTCTTTATTATTATTTTTTAGTTTAGTTTTTTAATTTGTTTGATTTTGTTTTTTGGTTACAATGTGTATTCAGTCTAGTATCAACAGCGTCATACAGTAATCGTAAAAGGAAGTTACTCTAATCCATGTTTTCGTGGTAAAAGGGATTTTGTATAGTTATGTATTTGTACATTGTTAAGAAAATGTCCCAACCTATGTGTTTGTTTCCAAACTCTTTCTGAAAATACTGTGGCCATTAACGCAACACGGAAGCAGCTTGTACTTCCTTTTTTTGTTAGAGAAGCACATACCCAGCCAAGTCTTGGGTGAAATTTTTCACTGTAAGAGGAACCATTTGAGCAAATTTGTAAAGCATACGCTCCTGCTATCAAAGATGTTATTCATATGATCCCAGCAGTATTACGTATTTCACAAAATGGAAGAACTGCGGGTAGGACAAAATGAGAACATGTCACACTTCTCTCTTTCATACCCACATCTGAGTTTTGTGTGGGAGTACGCAGATGAAAATCACCACTTCCTCACCCACCTTTCCTGCTCCCCTATCGTAGGCCTCATTCCTGCTGGGCTCCACATCTTGTGGTGAGGGTACACTGTGTATTTTATGTGTGTATGTGTGTGTGTTTGTGTGTGCGCTCCTTGCAAATTTACGCAGGTGCACATTGTCTGTTTATAGCACAAAGTGTCATATTTAAATTTAACCTTTCGCATTTCCTGAGTTTTTCTGGAGATGTTGCCCTTTAGTTTTACATCGAAAACAATGTGCATAAACTATTCTATAAAGAAACATTAAACTGCTTTGAATGATTACTAATTTTTTTTTTGTTGTTTTTTTTATTGCTGGGGAATTTATTCACTTGTCAAGACACGGGCTACACAAACAAGGAAACAATTTTTTTCCACTTCTAGTCTTCTGAGGTTCTGAGGAAAACACAGTGAAATGAAAAAAAATGAAAGATGATTAAAACAGAAAGCAACATCATTGTCAGATCAGAATAGTAAAGGTTAATGAGTTCTACTAAGTAAATCCGAATTACCTTGAATGATTTTACATATTTTATTAAGGTAAATTAAGAAACATTTTATGTGTTCATATATGGGACACAAGCATTTGACGTATATGATGAAAATGTATAAATAAAGACAATAATACTAACAACATTAAGCAGCATTAATGGAAATGGCTTCATTTGTTTGAAATCTGCTCAGTAATTCACTGTATATTGTATGAACCTGATTAAGTCTAAGTGATCCTTAAATTAGGAGAAAAATGATCATTTAACAGATCAAACAAAGAGGTTGTTAGAAACAGCATTTTAGCTCATCAGACATGGTAACCACAAAGGCAAACGAAACACTTCCTAGTGTGAGAAAATTAAGCAATAAATTGTTTATCACATCTGGCAAGAACCCGCAAGTTTGATATGCTATGTAGATCTTTAGATAGAGTACCAAACTCTGGTGCAACACAAGAAGTTCTCGTGTGTGTGTGTGTGTGTGTGTGTGTGTGTGTGTGTGTAGGGGTGTGTGTGAGAGAGAGAAAGAGTGAGTGTGTGTTTGTGTTTTGTTTGTTTGTTTGTTTGTTTGTTTGTGCATGGGCAGCACAGAATTAATGAGGTTAGCAGGAAATTGTTGCTGCTATTTTAGCTGCAACAAAGACAAGCTTGTTATGTTAATAAGTATATTCTATATTAGATGCTCGGATGTGAGAATGCAATGGGCTGGTAATTAACTTTTTACCCTGTTCAAGCTGGGATAAGGTAGTTATGAAAGTGGATGGATGGATTAATTTGGGATTAATTTAGTTTGGGTACAGGGTGAGCAATCTGAGCAGTGAAGCCCACACTTTTCTTTACCCCAACCACCACTGAGACATTCTCAAGAGACATAATCTCTCCAGCGAGTCCTGGGTCTGCCCCTGGGCCTCCTCCCAGTTGGACATGCCCAGAATACTTCACAGAAGAGGTTTCCAGGAGGCATCCTTGTCCGATACCTGGACCATCTCAACTTTCTATGTGAAGAAACAACGGCTCTACTTTGAGTCCCTCTTGCATGACTGAGCTCTTCACCCTATCTCTAAGAGCCACTCTTTGAAGGAAAATAATTCTGCTGCTTGTATCTGTGATATCTAATGAGCTTGGAAAGAAAGTGATTAGATTTCTTTAACGTTTTTTTTTTAAGGTTTCAGCTCTCATCTGAGAAGCTTCTTCAGGTAAAAAGCAAATGGTAAAGAGTCCCAGGTATTTAATCCCTAGTGGGAGTTGTTAAGAGTATCGTTGACCCACTATTGATCATGTGCCTCATCACATGCTCCAAGGTGTGAAAAAGGTTTTGGGCGAAACCATTGTGAGACTTTGCCTCGCCCCATTATGTGACCCATTGAGATCATCTGATGCAAGATGTGAGTGGGGTTGAGGCACCTCGGATGGGATCTCAAAACTGCATTGTAGGTGCCAGAGAGTTGGTGTCATAAGACACCCCCTCTGTTCAAAGATGCTTGTTCACAGTGGGCATAGATGGTCTCTTTCACTCCTCTTTCCAGCCATCTGTCTTCTCTATAGTGTATAAAAGCCTATTTCTTCTTAAAAGGTGCACAATTGCAGAGGTGGGAAGCAATGAAGCAAAAAATCCTGTGTTACTGTACTTAAGTAGAATTTTCCATTATCTTTACTTTCCTTGAGTATTTAGTTTTCTGGAAACTTTTTACTTTTACTTTTTACATTTATTTTCTTACAAATATCTCTACTTCCTACTGCTTACATTTTCAAAACAGGGTAGTTACTTTTGGTTTAAGACATTTGAGGAGTTATTATTTCACGCTACTGTATACCTTCAATCCTGAATGTTTTTGATTCAATCACCACGGCTTATCATGAAAAAGGCAAATGAAAAAGACAAAATCATGTAATTTATGCATGATTTACTGCGCAATATTCAGGTGTTCTTACTTCAGCATCTAGCTACCCCTACAGAGAGAAATGAGCACAAAGAGTGACATTTTGTTTTTGTTTAAAAGTGGTAGGTAATTTCAAATGTAGCGTTTCTATCAGCTCAACAAACATCAGCAAACACACAAACTGTTTCTGTGAAGCTTAGGGCACACTCTGTATGCTAGTTAAAGGTACAATTGCGATATTTCCCAACAGGAGAAAAGAATGAGAGCTCACGTCACTCAAAGATGGAGCAAGATGTATGAAAGACAGGAAAGGAGAGGAAGACAGAGTTCTATTTAAAGGTAAGAACAGCTAGTTATGGAGCAAGAGACATTGGAAAAGAGAAAAAAAAGTACTTTTGTGAAATCTGAAATGCAATTTTTTATTTTTATTTTTAAATTGAGATCCCAAGGGAGACTCCCCCCCCCCCCCCCCCCCCCCCCCCCGTATTTATTGAACTTCCATTGGTACCTGTGAAGCTGTACAAAACCGTGCAGCTAGATGTTACAGTTTTTCTCGATTGCTTAAACAAATTTTTTGAAACTATGCCTCGTATTCTCAAAACACAAATCCATAACATCTCACCCAATTTCCCAAACATCGTATTTTGAGGTCAAAATGAAGCTCTACACCCAAAACCATACCCTATGGTTGCAGTAACAGTTCACCACATCTGACTCATGTGGTAAAGCAGGGGCATAGTGTTTACAGTTCAGTGTTTACAGTGGGTGTCCGTTTTGGAAAGTGTCATTATGGTTATTAAATTTGGGTTCACGAGACTGGTTATAGTGTTTAAGCAATCAAGAAAAACTGTAAGATCTTTCTCCTACTTATGAATAGCACTCAGTGTGCTGCTATGTTGAGCATATAGTAAGAATAAAAGGAGGCAGAAATAAAATGAGTTCTGTCTTTTCGCTAATATAATTTTATTACATTAATATAGCACAAGGTTCAGTTTGCTTTGGACAAAAATAGCTGGTAGAAACATCTTATAAAGAGTTATCTTTGTTTACTTTCTTACTTTAAGTTTATTTCAGAGCCTTTACCTGTACGTATACTCCACTTTTGCTTCAGTGTAAAAGTTGAAACAGTACTTCAACTTTTACAAGATTATTTTTAAACCCACTTAATTACAGAATGTCTGCATTTTAGCCACCTCGCCACACGTGTAAGGAAAATCTATTTGTGTGTTGAGCAGCAGAGTTGAGTTGAGTATGTGGTTTGCGCCAATAAAAGACTCGTCAAATCTTCTCTACTACTGTCAAACAGCTTATTCTGCTATTAACGCTTGTTTGGTGTTGGTTATTGGATCAGATTATTGATGTCTGAAAAATAAACAAGACATATTGCTAATTTATCAATTTATTAATATAACTAACAGGAGCCTCAGTCCTCCAAGATGACAATGCTCGTCCCTGTAGAGTGGGGTTTCCAACAATATAAACAGGGGTGCACATAAGTGGTCTGCAGGTGCGCATTCGCTGTCAAAATAAAAGACGCGCACCAGATAAGAAGTTGCAATGCGTGTTTGCGTACATAAGATTTTCTGGAGGAGGACAGACATTAGTTTAGAACTCTTAAAGATGTCGAAGAAGCAAGCTCCTGTAAGCAGTTACTTTGGTGTTCCTCCACCTCCAAAGAAATGTCAGAAGGAGTCCGAACCGCAAAAGAAGCGCGTATTCTCGGAAAAGTGGTTGCAGGAGGTGAGCCGGCTTCAAACAAATGATGAACGCACAGATTTATGATTACATACTCTCTCCATTCCATCCGAAGTTGAATAGACTTTTTATTTGACTTTTATTCTTGAGTAGAAATAAAATGAAACAGCACAGGATTCTGTTACCTTTGGGATCAGACCAGTTCAATCAGTTAGAAAAACAGATTTAATTTGCTGGGCAAGGTTGTTGTCAAAGAAGATACTAAAGAGAAGTACTTGTGTAAGATAAACTACCTTAACCACTGTACGTAGATCTCAAAGAAATTCCTGAAATTGTCAATTATCTCTGAGTTGCTTTAGCTTAATTG